TTGTCTGGATTATCGAGTCAAGATACTACAAAACATATTGGTTGCAGCAAATTCATGACATAACCGCAGAGATGGCATAAGCAAATGGGCTTCTTCAGTGAGACACAATACCATATATTGGTATGTATAACAATAAAAAAAATAATAATAAAAAAAAAATAATAATGAAAAAAAATAAATAAAAAAATAAAATAAATAAAAATAATAATAATAATAATAATAATAATAATAATAATAATAATAATAATAAATAATAATAATATAATAATAATAATAATAATAATAATAATAATAATAATAATAATAATAATAATAATAATAATAATAATAATAATAATAATAATAATAATAATAATATAAATAACGATAACGATATGACGATGACGGATGACGATGACGATGACGATGACGATGACGATGACGATGACGATGACGATGATGAAGATGAAGATGAGATGAAGATGAAGATGAAGATGAAGATGAAGATGAAGATGAGAAGAAGATGAAGATGAAGATGAAGATGAAGATGAAGATGAAGTAACAGTAACAATAATAATAATAATAATAATAATAATAATAATAATAATAATAATTATTATTATTATTATTATTATTATTATTATTATTATTATTATTATCACTACTACTACTTAGTAGCTTGAGGATTGAGTATCTGTTATAGAATGATTCTGAGAGGTGTCTATTCATTATCATTGTAGATTTCACTTTCTATTGGGTTAGTTTGATGATTTTGCAAATTGTAGTTACATGAATTGCCATCATATAATCAAATAGGATGTTTAACCAACCATAGTGTACTAGTATTAGCAAAATGCTTTAACCATGATGATATTTTTTCCAATCTAGCTTGAGACTAAGAAACAAAATTGAACCTCATAACATATGATGTTAACCCATGCCACCAGGAAAATGTGTTGTTCAATGTAGTATTGTTTTGAGAAATGCATCTAAACACAGATAGCTCCACAAGTGCTCAGCCACCAAGGTGTCATCGGGCCCTCACCAATTTTCCCCTTCGTTAAATTTTCTGGATGTTTTTTTTCTAATGCCATTAAGATTGATGTTGTTATTATTATTGACATTGTAATTATCACAGTATTATGAACAATACTAATAGCAATATTAAATCAAATAACATATTACCAAAAATCAAACAGATGAGTTAAGTTGAACTCCGTGATGAACAAACACCTGTGGAGCCATCAATGCATATATACATTTAACAAAGTAAACTCACTGTGGGCATGGCATATCCATATATGCCATCCCTAGCAGCACTAGATTAAGAACAATAGGAAAATATTTATATATCTGGCTACCACCCAAACTAATATAGTTGTATCAGTATCAATAGTCCAGTGCAGCATTTGCATTAGTTTGTTTTTTCCCAAAGACAATCCATAACCCATACATCTATCTAGTGAGGTATAAATTGTAAAGATCCCTAACAATACCAAAGGCATATCCTTTAAGCACACTGAAGTACCCAATCCTAGCTTGAAACCTCAACTTATACTACTAAGATGTTTCATGATCTGTTGTCATTGACCACATACATAAATCAGCTGACACAACAAACCCTAGAACCTTCTCCAGTCTTTCATATTTCCCCTAAAGTGATATTGAAGAGAAGATATGGTCCTTTTACAGAATAATTCCACCGAATGGACTGCAACAATTTTGGTATCAATCGATTTCTCTCTGTCTCTACTATGCAACAATAGAAATTATTGCACAGAAAACCCCCAAATCCCGACATTTTTTACCCCAACAGCAGAGGAGGGCATGAAAGGTTACCTTGTTGTCTAATGGTAGCCCTCCATGGAGGGCTACCACCCCCCAGCCCTCACCCAAGAAAACAGAGAATCCACGTATTCTCGGCACGAGTATCAGGTGCTCCCACATGTCGGCCATACACTCTCAACTGCCATGAACATATGGAGGATTCTTTGTTTTCCACTGCAGGGGTTGAGGGGATGCAGACCACTATAAGGGGTCTGCATTAGACAATATAGTAATAAGTGTATATGAATATTTTAGGTAATTATTTCTAATAGTTCTGCATGTTGGATTGTGATGCTTTGGTTATCACTGGATTCTTCTCACTGTCTACCTTCCAAATATATAGAAATTATTGCGTGGAAACTTCCCAAACTCTCACATTTTTGGCCCCGATAGCAGGGGAGGGCATGAAAGGTACCAGGGAAATTATGAGGTAAAGTGTAAATAATATACAGAGAATCAGTCGGTATGTTGTCTAATGCAGACCCCTAAGGGGGGCTGCCATCCCCCAGCCCCGGCCAGAGAAGACAAAGAATCCTCCATGTACTCTTGGCAGGATTGGTTATACAACCGCCATGCAGGAGCAGCGTTGCCAAGTCTGTCCGACGCTCTCTCCTGCCACGAATACCAGGAGGATTCTTTGTTTTCCTGGACAGGGGTTGGGGGGCGACAATATAGAGACCGAGTTTGTGTGTATCATTTACATTTTACCCTGCAATTTCTCTGGTACCTTTCATGCCCTCCACTG